GCCGCCACCCCCCCTGTTATATTACCATCATTGGGGGGGGGAAGGGCCCTAGAATAGAAGGAAGAAATTTCTGAATTTAACATCTAGTATTGAGGACACGGAATGCCTACCGGGATGTTTGGATGTGGTTGTCATCTCCCTGAGGTTCCGGAATTGTGGTTGTTGAGTACTTATTGCACTGAGATGGTTTTAAATTGTATAACAAGTTTTAAATGCTACTAAATTATTTGATGTTTTATTATTGCAAGATTTCTTGCCATGTAAGCCGCCCTGAGCCCTACGGGGGAGGGCGGGATATAAGTTTAGTAAATAAATAAATAAATAAATGTGGTGATGGCAATGGCTCTTGCTCCCCTGCTCTTCTTGCCTGGCCATCTACCTGCATGAGGCAGACAAACCTTCTGGTTTTTTTAATCTCATTTTTCGGCAGACCATCTGATCCTTGCCCCACTCTTTGGGTCCATTGATCTTCCAGGTTCAGCATTATGGGACAGGAGAATAACAGTTCAGTTCCTGAAAAGAGAAAATTTAATGATGCAAATAGAAGTAAAAGTTATAATCATAATTAGATCTTACAAGTGGGAACCCCCAAGGACTTGCAGGAGGTATCTCATTTCCCCCTCCTAAACTATTTCCTCTTTCCTTTTCCTGAAAGCCTCTATAGCCTCTCCCCTTCTCCTGCTTCCTTCTCTTCTTCTAGGTTGCCAAAACTTCCAGATGGGTTATACAAATGTGAGATTACAGGATAGTAAGTAAACAAAAATCAACCTGGAATCACAACAGATTTTCCCAAGTACCGAGATCAGTTCCCCCTTAGGGTTGCAAGTACCAGGTTGAAAAAATTCCAGGAGATTTGGGGGTGGTGACTGAGGAGGGTGGAGTTTGAGGAGGGAAGGGAGCTCAACAGGGATGTGATGCCATAGAGTCCACCCTCCAAAGCAGCCAGGCTTTAGGCCTTCTTTTTCTTCGTACTTCGATTAGTTAGTTAAGGAAAGTTATTTAGTTAGTTTTTCAGTTTGGATTATCTCCGCCTCCGCGAAGCCACTCTCTCCTCCTCCCTCCAGCCTATGGCCATAAGGTGGGGTTTCTTTAAATAGTGCTGGACTTGTGGCAGAAAAATTGGCCCCTCCGCACAAGACCCCCGTTCCACTACCGCTCCCTTCTGCCGCTGGTCCATTTTGGAGCACCTGAGGGTGAAGATGGCTTTTACCACTCCCAAACGAACATCCTGGATTCCCAATGCATGGCCCGACTCATCCTTCTTCGATTTAGCCACCAACTCACTTATCCTGAAGGCCCCGAAAAAGGCAACCAGGGCGGCCACATGGAACCGCAGAGCACCTCAGGAGAAATAGGTTGCCTGGGGTCGACTCTTGTGCCCGCCTCACGCAACCACCCCTCCAACATTCTGCAGATCCGAAAATCCCCCGTGGAGTCCGCAAACTCCTGTGCTTTACTGGTGTAGGCCAGTGCGAATAAGAGCCCTTTTATAGAGCTGATCTCTAAGCCCTTACCTTTCGATGCCACACAAAAATGCAAGAGATACTCCACAGGCACAGGCTACAAATTAGGATACCCTACCTCCTGTCTAAAGGCCACAAATTGGCTGACAGCCCGGTCATATGCTCGCTTGGTATTGGGCGCTATGGCTAGTCCTATGGCCCTGTGTACTTCCGCCTTCCAACCAACCACAGCCCCGGTGACATCCGTACCAGCTGCAAGTTGGCTTCTGGGGTAAGCTGACGGAACCTCTCCATCTGTTTACGAGAGAGAGCATCAGCCACCCCATTATCAACCCCCGGCACATGCCTGGCAAAAAACAAAAAGTTAAGCAGAAGGCACCACAGTGTAAAGGCCCTAACCAAGTCCATGACACAACTTGACCTAGAGGAAAGGGAATTAATAACCTGCACAACCGCCAGATTATCACACCAAAAATGCACAGTGTGATTAGCCAACTCATCCCTCCATAGGTGAACGGCTACCAGAATAGGGAAAAACTCCAGGAAGGTGAGGTCAGCAGTCAGCCCAGCCGAAACCCACTCCCTAGGCCATGCCTCCGTGCACCAATGCCCCCGGAAATATATGCCAAAGCCAGAAGATCCGGCCGCATCTGAATGGACCTGCAGCTCAGCCTCCAACCTAAGGTCCTCCCTCCAGAAGGAGATACCATTGAAGGAAGCCAGAAATTCCTTCCACATCTCCAAATCCTGCTGGATGCGAGCGGTAAGCCGGATCCTGTGGTGAGGGCATTGAAGCCCGGTCATGGCCACGCACAATTTGCACAAGAAAGCCTGGCCTGGCGCCATGACCTTACATGCGAAATTAAGGTGGCCAATCAATTGCTGCAGCTCCCTCAAGGTAGCTTTCTTCGTATGCATAAACTGTCCAACACGGCTGTGCAAGCCAGCCAACTTGCTCACCAGTAGCCTTGAGGCCTGTGCCACGATATCTCAACTCCTAGGAACGTCAAAACCTGCGTTGGACCCTCGGTCTTCTCATGTGCTAAAGGCACTCCCAACTCACCTGCCAGCTCCAAAAAAGAACACAAAAGCCTATTGCACTGGCCAGAACCCTGGGGGCCCATGAACAGAAAGTCATCCAAGTAATGCGCCATGGCGCTCAACTGGTGCATGAATGCATTGCCCATTCCAGGAATGAGCTAAAGCATTTGAAGGTGGCACAGGAATTGGAGCAACTCATCAGCAATGCCCAGTCCAAATAAAACTGGCCGTCAAAACAAAAACCCAAAAGCTCAAAATCCTCTGGTTGCACTGGGAGGAGGCGAAATGCCGACTTGATGTCGCATTTTGCCATTTCCATCCCTTGGCCACAGCGGCATACAAGGATGTGTACCAGACCGAGCATAAGACCTCTGGGATCGCATCGTTAATTGAGTCACCCCTACGGTACGAGAGGTGGTGGATAAGCCAGAATTCTCTGGGGGCCTTCTTGGGCACAATTCACAATGGTGACACCCACAGATTAGGGACAGGAGGAGAGGGGAAAGGTCCTAAAATCCTGTCCTCCGCCGGCTCCTTTTCAATCTTTTTCCAAACTACGTGTGCCATACCCTTTACAGACTTTAAATTACCAGCCATAAAGGGGACCCTCTCACACTGGTATGGGATGCGAATACCCTGAGAAAACCCCTTCAACAAATACACACCATCAGAATTCCAGGGATAGTTCTGCAACAGGACCTCAAGCACTTTCAACTTTATGGGCATTGGCCCCCTTTGCAGAAGCCTGCCTGGACCCTCCCCCTTCCGTCCTCCTGCGGCTCCTCTGGGGCTTGCCCCGGAAGCATGCAGAGAAGGGGTGTGGGCCCCCACACAAAGGGCACTCATGTTGATATTGGCATCACTTCCTGCTACACACACCCTGGGCCCCAAATTCCCAGCAAATCTGGTGGGGTTGAACTACCTGCCCTGCCGAGTGGCGGGGAGTGGAAGCCACGGCCACATGGGTCACCAGGAGGCCACTGCTCCTGCGCCATCCACCACCGAAGTCCTGGTGAGCCATGGGCCGCTGCTGCAACCGCCGATCACGTGGAGCCGCGCCTCACGTCACCGCACCCAGCCAGGCACTGGCTGCATCCCAAGGTCGTCGGCCCCTGGAGAAGCTCTTCTGCACGTTCCCGAGCAAGTAGGCCCCTGAATTCGGCTGCACCACAGAGCTCCTAAGTGCCCAAAATTCGCCGCGGAACTGCGGCTGAGGAGGGCGGGGCCAATTTAAGCTCTTCGGCCCCACCCCTGAGAGAATCCGTATGCGGCGTTTTTGCCGCCGAAAAACCTCCCCAGCCCCACGGCTGCAAAGACCTGGGGCTCTTAGAATTGGATTGTTACTCCCCTGCCCACCCATATTCTTTGCTCAGCAATGTCTTGTAAATGAGTTCCTTGTCTCTGGCCTTTCAAGTGGCAGCCAATGAACTGGAGCAAGGAGCAGGCACACATTCCATGCAGTCAGATGGCTGGGAGCGGTTTAAATTGCTTCGGCTCCGATGCATTTTTTTTTAACCTGGAGAATCGCAATCACACTCACCTCCTTGCTCCGGATCGCTGTGCAGCCACATCGCTTCCCGCCGTTTACAGGCAGGAGCGTATGTCTGTTTTTTCTCTCTCTCAGTTTGGGCATGCGCACAGGCATCCATCTGTAGAACTAAATTTTTCGTGTGTATGCAGAACAGCGATTTCCACTTCAACCCAACTGCTGTAACACTTCCCTTTAAACTTTAAAGGAACACTTCCCTTTAAACTTTAAAGGAACACTTCCCTTTAAATGTTTACCCCCGAAAATGGCCTCCATGAGATCCCAAACTCGTCTAAATGCTAAAACTAGGCACTGTTTAAACATTGTTTTTAATAATGCGGTGGTGGAGCTCCGCCTATGCGCACACCGCCAACGCTTAAAATAAATGGTTGGTGAAAAGCGGAAGCCTCGGGCAGCTTTCGAGTGGGGAGGGGTTTAAACCAGAAGTGGCTCGACACTGGAGGAGCGATCACACAGAGGGAAAATGCGGCTGGAAACTGAAAATCAGGAAAACACCACTTGGGGACCTGGTAACAAAATACTCCCGTTTAAAGGGGATTTGAGCCGGAAAGCGACAGTTGGGGATGGGAGGCAGATGTTGACTGTGTGATCACGCATATAAAATCCGTTTCTGAACTGGCACGACACCAGATCAAATGGCGTGTCTGAACGCACCTATTGAATATCGTGATGCTTCATTACACTTTTACTAAGTTTTTCATGTGAAGATACAAATTACTAGTTGCTGTGTGTTCCTTATAAAGTCTAGCTAGGCCATGAACCTCTCTTCACTGGATGCAATATACTTTGAAAATGATGGAATTGGGGTGAATTGAATAGCACTTTTGTTGCTAATATTTCATATAATAGATGGGTAAAGTTACTATAGTTGCAAACATGATGCTAGAAAATTATTATACACCTAGGAAGGAATTATTTTTTTTCCAGTTTTGTTCTATTTCTTTCAGATTGCTGCTGGGGCAACAGAAGTGTCCGTCTTTGGTGCAGCATCTGAGTCTTTCAGCAAAATGAATATTAACTGCACCATAGAAGAAAGCATGGACAAATTTGAAGACGTTGTGAAATCAGCAAGGAATATGGACATACCAGTGCGAGGGTAATTATAAACCTAGTCAATATAACCATTTCTAAATGATAGCTCTAATTTTGTAATGAAAGAGGCCTTCAGATAGAAATGTCATATGTCACATAGGATATATGAAAAGATTACGGCTGTTTCACTTTACCACTCCATCCACTGAAGCTTTGCTGGAAGTGCCCAAAGTGGATGTTTTACCATCCCCGTTGTAAACCCCGTTGTAAACTGCATCAGAAGTGGAACTGGATTTTCCATTTCAAAAGACAGCACCTTCCATTTCAAAGGGCAGCAGATGTGACCATGGCCATATGATAGTTCACCTCCTTATTTAGTTTGCCTTCTCTTATTTAGTTTACCTCCAGATTAACAGGAACTTAGATGTCTTCAATATGAAGTACCGTACATCAGACTTAAATCTTGCCTTTTGGGGCTGTTAATTATTACTCCATTTTATTCCCGTATACCATTGACCATAATAGCATTCTAGCAAATCCCAAATGGATAATAGTAGGCTTTCTAATGGACAAGTATTTGTGAGTTTATAAAAAGAAAAGCACAGTCATAAACATATAGCAAAGTGAAACAATCTTTGTGTATACACTTGTTCTATGCTACTTTAGATATAGAGTCATATAAGTTTAGTTCTTTTTAAAAGGTTGTTTTATAATGTCGTCCAGATTTGAAGACTTAGATGGGTCTGTGTTTTTGTCCTGGCTTTTTGCGTGAGCCAGTACAACTTTATTTCTGCCTACAGGGAGTTGGCTTGTAGCCTCTAGAACCCATGTCCATTAACTTTGCAAAATAAACTACATGGTAGAGAATTTCTTTCTCTAGAATCATCTTTTCTTGTAACGGATGAATGAGTTTCAGTTCTGTGTTCTCCTCTGGGTATCTCTGTTATTCATCTGCTCTACCTGTCTTCTAATTTCACGTGGGCCATTTCTAAAATTAATCTTGGATTCACATTTCTGCTACAGCTTTGCTTTCATTCAAATCATTTCTTGTTTTCTGCTAAGGCCATGCCCATGAGAGATCATGCACATTACAGCAGCACACAAATATTATGTTTGGGAGTTTCTTTAGTATGAAATGGTGAGCACCAGCACATTAAGATTCCTTTTATTTAATGGTAAGCAGACCCTCAATTCAGATTTTTGTATGCTAACATTGATCCTCTTACTATGGGGGCTTACTGATTACCATTGTTTCTGTTTTAAAGGCACACAGAAGGCACAAAATGGCATTTGCACTAGTGTTGTAAAAGTGGGGCAACTACAAGGGCTTGGGGGACATTTTATTTTCTCTGTATCTCCTCCCCCACAATTTCTTCTTTCTCTTTCTTGGCAGCCTGTCTAGCCCCTTTTGTTTTCCTGCTTCCTTCTCTCCTTCCCACTCCCCAGTCCTTACTTTTATCTGCTCCCCTGTCCTCAGCTTTCCCCCCTTCCCTCCTCTTGGCAGCCTCTTATCAGGAAAAGTCTAGCCCTGTTGCATGGTGATGGGTGTCAGTGCCAGGCCAGGCCCTTTTGCATAGTAGCCAACAGTTCTGCAGTGGCTGGCAGCGGTTGCAGTATGTGTGTGCAGATGGGCTGAGTGGTGTGAGTAGTAAGTCTTCCATAGGCATTGCTCGGCCTGCTCCCAGTGAGTCCTCCTCCATCAATGGACATACCAGGGGAAGGGGATGTTACCCTTTCCAGACTGTTTTGGCATCCATGCGGGCAACCTCCCCCCATGACTTTGCTTTACAGAAATCAAAGCTTGGAAGACTCAGCAATAGTGTTGTGGTTGCCTAGCAACCTCTAAAAGGGCTAGTAAGCATTCTTTTTAAAAAGAAAAAGAAAAAAGCTACAGGTGTTGTTTCTATTGCTTTGGGGACTTTTAGTACTTCATGCAGGAAATTCTTCTTTGTAACCCTTCTTGGGCTGCATGCCAGATTTTATACTCCTAATTCCAGTTTTTCACACCTTGCTAGCCATTATCCTTGGTCATTTAGGATAGGTGCAGTTCTACCATGAGGAGGGTCTTTCTTCTCCTGGAATGTCTCCGGGGCATCTGGCATATCTCCAGTTATAGGGCAAACTGCCTTGCCTTTGTTATCTCCCTCCCTGGTATTGCCGAGCACCGAGGAAAGGGGGTCCATCAAAACTAAATATAGATATGTCTACTCCCTGTGTTCCCTTTACCTAAGCATGCCTATGTTCTCGACTAATCGATTTCAGATTTTTCTGCAAACTTGGAACTTACTTCGGGTTCATAGAGTAAATCCCCCTATCTGTCCCTAGGTCCATTTGACTGACCTATTAATCCACATTCTATGTCCCAAACTGGAATCAGGTATAGAATAAAGAGTGATCCAAAGAGGTAGGGCTGGCAACCTCCAGGTGGTGGCTGGAGGTCTCCTGGGATTACAGCTGATCTCCAGGTGACAGAGATCAGTTCCCCTGGAGAAAATGGTGACTCTGGAAGGTGGGCTCTGTGGCATTCTACCCTATTGAAGTCCCTCCGCTCCCCAAACCTTGCCCTCCTCTGGCTCCACACCAAAAATCTCCAAGTATTTCCCCAAATCTCAAGGTATTTCCCAGCCCTACAAACAAGATAGAAAGGGGCTTACTTGTGCAAGGTTGAAAGACTGCCTTTAGGGTTGCCAAGTGTTACTCACGATTTAGCGGGGGGGGGGGAGTCCTGTAGCTCCCCGGGAGTCTTCTTCCGTGCGTGCAAAGCGCTCACGCTGCTATGATGTCACACAGAAGTGACATGATCAAAAGGGCATGTTGGGGGCGGGACCGCAATCATTCAAGGGAAAACCATAGAGTTTTACCTCGAATGATAGAGCGTCCCCCGCGACATGCCCGACGCGATCACGTCACCTCCAGGTGACGTCTTTACGCTGGGCACGTCCTACACTTTGGAGGTGCGGTTCCCCCTGGCGGCCTGAAACTTGGGCAATATACTTCTATGGAAAAAACTGGAACTTGTTGCACCAATTTTGAGTGTGGGGGTGGGTGGCTATTTTTATTCACTAGAAGGGCATTCCTCTCACAAAATCTCAGCTGCCCAATTTCAGTTTATGTTGGAGCTGTGGGGGAAGGCAAGGTGGTCAAACTGGAGATAGAAAGAACAGCAGCATTCTTTGTAAAGGCAGTAGCACCAAAAAAGAAAGTCAGAAAAGAAAGCAAGCAGTACACCAAAGATAAATTTATGAAGTTGCCAAACATATTTTGATAAAATACGTTTTGAGTTAAACTACATAGTCGGAAGAAACTTTTTGCCATAAAAGCACTTGCAGTTGTTGCCCCTGAAGGCTGAGCAACGTGGGAAATGGAAACAACTTTTTTCTTCAGAACCCATTTGAATTTCACATTCTCTTTCTATTTTGGGGGTAGGAGTAAGTACAAGACAAGTTGGTAGATTTGCGTTTTCTGTCCAGTTGCTAAGCAAACCATTGATAGTGTGCCAAAGGCCCTTGAAGTCTGTCTTTTCCCCTGACTGTATATGACCATAGGTAAGTGTTCAATGCTGCATTGAAAATGTATTGTGGAAGTTTGTTATTGCTTATATGTGGACCGCTACCAGGGGTCTGCAACTACAGACAGGAGCTTAGCTCCTTTAAACAATAGGAACCTAGGATCCTAGTTCCTCCAGCATTAACCAATAGCTACTTTGGCAGGAAATTCAAAACCTCCAACGGGAGTGTGTGTGTGTGCTGTGTGTGTGTATATAGTTGGCCTTGCAGGGCCGTTTTTCCAGTCCAGTGTTAAGTACAATAAACGTGTGCAAACGCATGTCATTGTCTGAGTTACTCCATGCAGTGAAGCCAGTACTTTTCAGTGGCGACAAGGATGGGATCCCGCTGAGCCAGGCCTGGCTCGCATCCCAGCGCAGCACCAAGCATCGATCCAGCTGACACCACTGCGCCACACATCGCTCCCGAGCAGTACTGCCCCGCGCCCTGCGTCCAGGACACCACTCCCCACTCCATGCCAAAGCCATGGCCTCCACTCGAGGAAACCTGGAGATCTTCGATCCAGCTCATCCCGAACTTTGGGACTCCTGGACGGACCAGCTGACCTGCCACCTCGCCTACAATGAGGTAACCGATCTGGGCAAACGAATGTACCTACGAGGAAATACTCGACGCCCTGACCAGATACCTCAAGCCCCAGCTGACAACGCTCGCCAGACGGATCAAGTTCCAGGGCCACATCCAAAAGCTGGGTGAGTCAGCCGCCTTGCACCAGCTTGCTATGGACTGTGCCTTCACCAAGGTGGAGGAAAATCTCTTGACACAGTTCACCTGGGGCATCAGCGACATAAAGCTGCGGAGAAAGATGATCGGTACCGCCGACATCAAGATCGACAAGGCCCTCCAGCTCGCCGTTGCACATGAGGCCTCCCACCATGACCGTCCCACGTCTGCGGCTTATCTTGTGCTTCCCGACTCAGCGCCCGAGAACTCTGATGAGGAGGACGTCCGTCTCGTCCATCTACCCCCTCGCTGTAAACCACCGGGACCCGCAGCATCGGGATCCTCCAGGAAGACCGCCAGCCGTTCCACGTGCGCCAGCTGCGGGGAGGCACATGAGCGTAAGTCCTGCTGGTTCTGCGACGCTACGTGTCACACATGCGGAAAGCAGGGTCACCTTACCCACGTCTGCTGGTCCAAGGGAAACTGGCACCAGCAACCTACAGCTCAGCCCCAACGCCAGGCTGCTGCCACCTACGAGACCGCAGTGGAAACCTCCAAACTCTACTTCCTCACCGACCGGCCATCCCTCCAGGTATTACGCCTCCCCAACCTGTCTGCTACCCTGCAGATCCATGTAACAGTCCTGATTAAGGGGTCCCCTTGCCCTATGGAAGTGGACTTGGGGTTGGCGGCGTCCATCATTTTGGTAGACATGCTGCACAGACTTTGCCCTAATGGGGGACCCCGCTTACGCCCCTCCCCTTTATGTTTGGTGGACTTCCAAAGGAACCCAGTTCCTATCCGGCGTGTGGGGACTTTCAGGGTGCTGGGTTTTTTGA